CCCAGGAATGCTAAGGCCAACTTAGTTCCTGATATCCTGAGCCGAGCAGTGAGAGGCAAGGAGACAAGACCGCGAAGCTCCGTTTATTCAAGGCACAGCGCAGGGTTTTACGTCTTTGACTCCTGGGAACATACCCCGATGTAACAGCAGACAAAGCAACAAAGTTTACATATCTTTACTAATAGGCAACATCGAGGATTTTTCTCATGTGAATACCAATCAAAGTATCAACAAGCACATTTCTTCGCAACATCATCCTGGCTGTGTCCTTCTCCCGCGCTGTTCCCGTAAAAACACCATGTACTTCTTGTTCCCAGAATGTCCCAATACTGATACATATTTGTGCTAGCTCTGACTGTGCTTGAGCTGGCAACATTGTTTATGGTTCAGTTTGCCTAGCATCAGAGTTCTGCTGACTGGGAGGTGCAAGGTGTGTGGACGGAGAACTGAGCCAGGATATTCTGCTCATGTACTAACACCCGAGAGGGGCCTCCGCCCATCAGTGAAGTCTCATGAACAGCCTGTGGCCCTCAACATCCTACAGATCCCTAACATGGAAGCACACTCATAAAATTATAGATAGGACTAGAAGGTATCTTAGAGGTAATCTAGTCTAAAACCATTATTTTTTTGTAGATGAGGAAACTGAGGCCCAGAAACATTAAATCCTGTGATCAAGCTCAATTCCTCTGCCTCCAAATCCTATGTTCTTCTCATTGCCCCATACCAAACCAGAGTTAAAAAGGGATCCCAAAAAAATTCCCCCCCACCTGATTTCAAGTGCAGGAAGATGAATATTCAAAGATTTGTTTGTGGGGTGGGAGGAGGTAACAAGCTACTGTCCAGAAATTTAACTACCTCTCAAGTTATTCAGCCTGCTCCCCTTGGTGTGAACTTTAGTAAATAGACCAAAGGCAGAAGGTGCAGAAGGTTAGCCTCTGCTGGAGCTCATTCCTTGATAGATGCCAAATATTGGGCATAATGTTGATCCGTCATGTGTCCCTGATTACATGGATACTTCTTATCACATGGTCATAGAACTGAAGAAAGTCAGAGCTATAATATACCATACAGATCATCTAATCTGCCTTCTGCTTGGTGAGTAAACTGAAACCTAGAAAGGCAAAAATCACCTGTTCCAAGTTACAAAGCCCATATTGACAGAACTATTACCTGAAAGTAATATCATTTCAGCTACACAACTATTCTACTCCCTCCTTTTTTCTTCCTCAAATCTATCTTCCATACCAAAACTTTGTTTTCTGACTATTTGCTCTGTCCCCCTGCCTCTCCCTCTCCTCTCCCCTCTACTCTGTTTTCTTTCTCCTCTCTCCTCTCTCTTCTCTCTTCTCGTCATTATCTTTCTGTCTCTGTCTCTCTCTCTCTCTGTGTCTGTCACTCTGTCTCTATCTATCTATCTATCTATCTATCTGTCTCTCACTGGCTGTGTGACTCTGGGCAAGTCACTTAACTATGTTTGCCTCAGTTTCCTCATCTAGAAAATCAGCTGGAGAAAAAGATGGCAAACCACTCCACTATCTTTGCCAAGAAAACCCCCAATGGGGTCATGGGGAGTTAGACATAATTAAAATGACTGAAAAATGATGAGATCCCTTTCCACCCTGAGATTTTGTTTCTATGACATAATAATATCTATGACCAAACATGACTAAAAAAGATGATTGTCACATCTTCTCATCTTTGCTCCTGCCCTATCACATATCTCCCTACTTGAAATTCCCTTGGGATGTCAAAATTACCAAGTATCTACTATTGTAACCAACATCTTCTTTACACAAAATTTATTCTCTTTTGTATTTCTTCTTTGTCTAGAGAATTCACATTATTCTAACAACCTAGGCTTGAAATACCTGTAATCTTTTATAACATGCTACCTCTCACTTGCCAAATTCAACATGTCAGCCAGTCTTACTGATTCTTACCACTGTGGTGTATGAAATAAGTTCTTTCTTTTCATTCCTTTATCCAGCCTAGGTCAAGCTCATATCTCCTCATGCCATTATTGCAACAGCTTCCCAATTAGCTTCTTTATTCTTAACCACTTTCCTTCTGTACACCTATATTACACCCTCTCGCCAAATGAATTTCTCCAAAATACCGCTTTACTCTATCACAACCTTGATCAAAACCTTTCATTGATTCCCCATTGTTTTCAGGATAAATATATACTTTCTTATAATAGGATAAAGGTCTTCCTTATAATGACCATAATCTATCTTTCTACTACATTAGTATAGGAAAAAAACTCAGGTTTAGAGAGCCCTGGTCCATTTATTCCATTGGCTTTTGGTGTGGTGGTGGCGTTGGTGGTGGTGGTGGTGGTGGTGGTATTCTAGAGATACTCTTCCTGCCTAGAACCTCTACTCTGCACCTTTTTCTGGAACCCTCATCTCCTCCCCATCAAACAGTTCTATTCCTGGAAACAATCAAGCTAAAAACTGCTCACTTCCTCTCTGACTAGCACTCCCCAACCTATGATATTATAGATAGGAAATCAAGAACGTTCGCTTGAATGAGACTCCACTCCTCCCTATAAAGTACTTGGCCCTCTTCCACACTGCTATTCAATCACTTTATATAAGACAAGCATCTCTCAGCAAAGACATGGCGGAGTCACCAAGAATCTGGCATATCCTGGTGCTAAGGTAGTGAAGTGTTTTTCACTTGGATCAACAATTTCCTTGCTCCTCCTGCCTGAGGATTCTTGTACCCACAGCTGAGTCCTTAAGTATTCTCCCCTACTCCCAGCCTCTTAATAATGCCCCCAGGTGTCGCATTCTCCCTTGTGTAAAGTAAAATGTGCCAATAATTTTTAAAAGTCTAATGCTTTTTAGCACTGTTGGTTGGTTTATTTCTTCTGCGGGAATATCTAAATCCTCCAAAAAGGAGCTATAAAGAAATGAAACAGAATTCCCTACTAATCATCTATGCCAGCCATATTAGTTTACTTACTATCGCCTTAATTTGTCAGGCATATTTTGACTATATCCATTGTTTGGAAGCAGAAAGAGCACTGGTCTTAGAGTCAAGAAATGTTAAAGACTCGAATTTCAATCCCAGCTCTGCACTTATTAAATACTTGACCTTGGGCAAGTCATTTCCATTGTCTAGGCCTTCAATAAATAAAATGAGGAAAGTAGAAAAGATGACCTCTCATGTCCTCCTAGCTTTGATGTTATCTGGTCCCCTGTGATTCTATACTGGGAGAGAAGAGGAGGGAAGGAAGGGGTGGTTTCTTGTAATGTTGATTTAAGTTCTATTATTTTCTTTATCACTACTCACTGAAAATAAAATCTACCTACCCAAGAGAGCAATCAATAATTTCTCCTGGTGCTCCTCTGGAGAAGTCCCAAAAGGGTAAAAGCAGGTAGGAATAGGAAAGAACAACCATCATAATACAGCAAGAACTTCCAGAGAACACTGTCTTCTTACGGTAATCAATGGTGCCTCTTCTAATAAAAGTCAGATGCTGGTACTCTTTCAGGTGGCTGGAACATAGGAAGCTGGTGTCTTAATACTGGATATAGATTGCTGGGGTAAGTGGTGATGGGCTCTATATCTCAGTGCTAAATTCTGTAAAATGCAAGGGCCATGAGAAAGGACTACACTACTTCAGGGAGACAGAGTGATGTACTGGGGGAAAGTACATGACTGTACATAGACTCAGAAGACCTGGGTTCAAGACGCAATAATCCTGGCAGTGACCATACCAATCTGGGCCTTGGTAACCATATCTGTAAACTGATGGGAGATGGACTAGATAACTTCCATCTATAGAGATATGGTCCTTATTCTTTTCATATAATTATTTAATCTTATTCATTGGGGAAATTAAATTTTTATTTCATATTGGAGAAAGGAATGGGAAATACCTCTTCAGACTAGAAGGCTAACAAAGATAATATGATCCTTGTCCCCATACAAAAAAAAAAAAAAGAGTACGATTCTTGAACTTTTCAACCCTCTGCTGTACCACTGGGGGCTTTCCAATCCAAATGAAACTGAATTTTACATTGGAATTAATGATGAGTCTTATAAAATGATATCAAAAGGCATATAGGATATACACTTCCTTTTGGGTTGCATATGAATGAAGCAACTTTCTTTGCACTCATAGCAGTCTCACTTGGTGAAGTTATCATGGGAATTGAGATGTCCTCACTCTCATGAATGTTCCATCCAAGCAAGGAAGCTGACCTTTCTCCAGGCACTTATATTTCTCCTAAACTTCAGCTCTCTCATCCCAAGCTCTTCACCCCAGCATCAAACACACACTTTACTTGAATGTCACATTCTTAGTTCTCAGTTCCTGCCGTGGTCAGTTTACCAAACATGAAACTACTTGCCCTCATATGGCCCATTCTCTCTATCAGATTTCAATGTATAAAGCCTACCCTCTCTAATACATTTATTGCATCTACATATGGTCATGCTGAGCAGGGATAATATAGCTTAAGGCATTGGTAAAATCATAAGATTATAACTCTAGGGTACAAGAGACCTCAGGGGTCATTTGGTATAACTTTTTCATCTTATGGATAAGGAAACTGAGGCCCAAAAAGTCCAAAGTCATACATATAATGATGATTGATGAGCAGGAGTTCACATCTGAACTCAGGGATGAAATTATTCATCACGTGTCCTTATTTTTTTCCACATACCAGATTCTGTTGTGCCACACAGTGAGCCAAGTGATTTTAAATACACATCGGAGAAGGGGTAAGACATTCTGTGTGGCTACAGAGAACACACTGATAAAAAATAAAGGAAAGTTATAAAGATGCAGAGTGGAAAGAGAGTTGGCCTTAAGCCAATAAAACCTGAGTTCAAGGGTTGTAGTGAAGGTGCTTACCTTTATTGGTAAAGGGCACAGAAATGGAAAACTGTTTCTGGGAACTCTTTATGACAATGAAATTGAAAGTTAATCACTATTCTTTTTTCTCATTCAAACTTTCATGTGAATTAGATGGCTTAACACCTTGATGAAATCGGTTACTCCAAGAGAAAGAAAACTTTATTTGGGAAATGGAATAATTTTGCGTGAAGAAAGCAGGTAAGAAAGTAAAAAGAGGTCAGGCTCTAGAAGCAGAGGAATGGGTTCAAATTTGCTTCTGACTTTTTCACATTTGTGTAATTTTGGACAAATCACAACTTTCCTGGGCTTCACTTTTCTCATCTATAAAATGAAAGGGTGGGGGACCTCTGAGGTCTTTTCTAGCTCTTGATCTATGGTTATCAGTTTTTCTACTTTAACCTAAAACCTGAGTCTTATTATTAATAATGCTACAGAAATAGATCTCTATTTGTCTGATGATTGGAATGAGTGACTCAAGTGCCCTCAATATTCCCTTTACTCCTAAAACACAGTTGCTAACTTTCTCTAACATGTTAGCTATTCAAGAGAATGAGTTCTTTCACTTCAAAATAAGTAGATTCTCATTCAATCATTTACCATGTGCTCCTATGAAAGATAGAGCATTTGGAGTAACAGAATTAGAGAACTCCAGTGAAGCCCTTCCTCTGGGATGTGTTGTGGTATGGAAATGATCCTGAATTCTAAAAGATAAGGGCAGTAGAGCAAAAGCACTAATCATTCCCACCAATCTGAAATATTCTTTTTCTATATAGATACATGTATACTTACTGCATACTACATGTATATATATATACATATGTATATACATATACATATGTATATACATACATATTTGCATTGTATATATATGTATGCATGCATGGAGCTCCTAAAACACACAGCATGTAGCTCATCTGAGAACCCATTTCCTGAAATATAATAATATTTGCTCCACAAAACTCTGGGGACACAGAGACAGGGAGAGAAAAAGACAGAGAGACAGGGACAGAGACAGAGAGAGGTTAAGATGACAGAGAAGGTAGATAGATAGATAGATAGATAGATAGATAGATAGATAGATAGATAGATAGATGCATATATGTATGAATACTAAAGATAATCAAATCTATTTTATGTCCATTTCAAAGGTAATGAAGAAATGACCACCTTAGGCATTCATAACACCTCTTGGACTGTAAGCGAGTTCATCCTCCTGGGCTTTTCGTGCAGCCATGAAATAGAAATCCTTCTGTTTGTGTTGTTCTTCTTTACATATGTACTGACTGTGCTGGGGAATGGGACAATTGCCTGTGCTGTGTGGTGGGACCAGCAGCTCCACACTCCCATGTACATCTTACTAGCCAACTTTTCCTTTCTTGAGATCTGCTACATCAATTCCAGTGTGCCCAACATGCTAGCCAACCTGCTCTCCAAGGCCAAGACCATCTCCTACAACGGCTGCATTCTCCAATTCTACATCTTTTCTTCTCTATGTGCAACAGAACTCTTCTTTCTGGCCCTCATGGCATTTGATAGGCATGTCGCTATCTGCTACCCACTCCACTATCCCACCATTATGACTGGGAAGCTCTGTGCCACCCTGGTGTCTGCCTGCTGGGTGGGTGGCTTCCTTTGGTTACTGACCCCTGTCACCCTCCTCTCCCAGGTGCCCTTCTGTGGTCCAAACATCATTGACCACTATTTATGTGATCTAGGGGCAATGCTGGCCTTATCATGTACACCTGTCCCCAAAACTACTCTAACCTGTGGTGCTGTCAGTACCCTTATTACCTTTATCACCTTAATGTACATCCTTGGCTCCTACACCCAGGTGCTAAGAGCTGTGCTCCGAGTGCCAAAGGGCTCAGGAAGGCAGAAAGCCTTCTCTACATGTGCTTCCCATCTAGCTGTGGTCTCACTATTCTATGGCTCCATCATGATGATGTACGTGAGCCCAGGCTCAGCCAGCCAACCTGAGATGCAGAAATACATCACCTTGTTCTACTCAGTTGCCACTCCACTCTTCAATCCCATCATCTACAGCTTCCGCAATAAGGAAATTAAGGCTGCTTTGAGAAAAGTCCTGGGGAGAATTTGAATATCACTGACAAAGGAGGGATCCTTAGATCTTCACTCCTCAATCTCTATTTACAGGGTATGTTATAATGGGGATTGCTTTTGTATCTGGGTATAATTGGATGGCCACGAATTTCTTGCCATTACCAGCATTCTGTGATTTATGTGAAAGTGGTAAAGGGGGTGGGGGGAAGGAAAGAATAAGCATTTAAGTGTCTATTATGTGTCAGGCAGTGCACTAATTTAGCTTTATAATTATTATCACATTTGATCCTTGAAACAGGCCTGGGACATAGATGGTATTATTGCCCCTGTTTTACAGTTGAGGAAACTAAGACAGACATAAGTTAAGTGACTTGCCCAAGGTGTACACAGCTAGTAATCATCAGCAGCTGGGTTTAAACTCAGGTCTTCATGACTACAGATCCAGAGCTCTATCTTCTGTACCCCCTAGCTCCCTCTGCTTCTTATGAGAAGAGTTCAGTTTATAGCTCATATAGCCAGTGAAACACAAACCTCATGATTAGGTTTGAAGAAAGATTTACCTGCCCTAGAGTAAGGAATCAAGTACAGAGAGGTCCCCTGCAAAATGAGACTCTTACCAGGTATGGACATTATTGCTGTTATCTCTACTATGCTTAGCTTTTCCCAAGGTAAGTGTGTTGTTCAGTCCCTCCCATCTCTGAACTCAGCTGAAACATTTTGCTCCCCTTCACCATGTAAATGGACATTAGTGCTTATAGTTGATTTCAATTTAGCACACGCAAAGATAAAGATATATAGGTGTATACATACATACATACATATGTACACACACACACACACACACACACACACACACACACATATGTATACACACCCTCCACTACTGACTGGACCTTTGTTAGGGAGACATGGATGTCTTTGTCCCTCTTCCCACGTATGTTCTTTTTACAATGGAGAGGAGGATGTTGACATTTAAGGCTATGGGGAAGTGAGCAGAAAGAGTGGTATGCATCTCTTCTGTGAATATACCCACACTGTCATAAAGCTTGAAACCTCAATAAGGAAAGATGAAGCCCACAGTGACTCAATCTTCCTGGCTTTCTATTTTAAAATTTCCTTTCCTGGGTTGCTTTCTCTGCTTCTTCACTTTTCACTCTCCACTTTGGATTTTCTTGAATTTAATTATTTAGAAATTTATGCGCTATCTCTTTGTCTTCAGTTCTATATTTTCCCATTGAGAGTTTGGGGGCATATTAATTGATTGATGGAGTAATGGAGTCCGATGCTGGCTGTGCTTGTCCTTTCAAGTTATCCCACAAAGTACACATATCAAGGATCGCTTATATAAGCCTTGAAGCTGGCATCATCTTATACAGGGCTTCTTAAACGTTTTCCACTCAGGATCCATGTTCACATTTCAGTAATGTTTGATAGCTTTGTGTGGCCTGAGGGTATGCACAGTGCAAAGTGTGCAGGCTTTATGTTCAGAAGCAAGGCTGCAGTGAAGTTGTGGGATTCAACACAGGCAAGGGCTGCCAGAAACACCTGGAATTCATTATGCATTTGATTTTTAATGAATTTTTGTCATTGTGCATTCAGAAATCTTTTACTGTTGCCAAGCTTTTCATAATCCCATGTAGGGTCACAACCCACATTTTAAGAAGTATTAATCTGATATAGGTGTCCTTAAACTTGGGTTCAAGAACCCCCAAAAGATAGATAGATAGATTGCAGGTTGTATAGGAAAAAATTACATGTTTATTTTCACTGAACTTTTAATTGAAATTTAGCATTTCCCTCAATTATCTAAAAACATTTCCCTGAGAAAAGGTCTCTAGGCACCAGACTGCCAATGGGGTCTATGACGCCAAAAAAAGATTAAAAGTCTTGGTCTAACACATGTACATTATTCTATGTGGTGGGGACCTTGTAGAAATTATGAAATTCGCAAGTACAGCAAGGAAACAAAAGTGTCATGAGATGTATATTTCTCTCTGTGTGTATGTATTTAATTTCAACATTTCATATTCACTTGAAATCTCATTTTAAGAAGCATAGTCTTTCAGTTATATCACACGCATATTATCAAAACTCACAAATAATAGTCTCTTATTTGAGCTCCTCCAAGATGATTCCTCAGTGGAGCTCTTCCTGCAGAATAGACATTGTTGGAAACAAAAGGAAACACTATATAAAAGAGCTTTGATTTGTTTGTTTTCCCCCCAAAAAAAATTTATGAGCCTTGGATCTGGACTCAATTCTATGCTACGCCAAAGTATTGAGTCAAAAAGGGGATTTTGTAAGAAAGCTATCCTAGTTAAATAATTTCAGACATACACTATAACAGGGGCAACTGTCACTCAATTAACTCCAGTGCTTAATTGTCTCATCTTAATGTTGACATTGCACCAGAATTTCCTACTCTAGTACTTTCTTCTGTGTGTGGTTTAAGTCTGGGTTCATATCCCTTAAGTGTTGGTATTATGAGTGTCCATTGATAATAAAATATAAATTTCTTGATGTGCATTGTCTTTCTTTAAGCTATCAGCCTCTTTCAGATCAAAATTATGTTGTCTTTTTCCTTTTATACTTCTTTTGAGCACAATAATGTTCTACATACCATAATATATCTTACATCTTTGATGATTTGAATGAATGAGTAAAAATACTTACTATGTGCAAAGCACTATGCTAAGAACTAGAAATACAAATAGAAGAGTAGAAAAATAGTAAAAGTCTAGTTCTCAAGAAGCTCACATTCTAATGCGGGAGACAACACATATGTAAGTTTGCAACTACAAGTCACATGGTCCTTAGGGTTTAATGGTCCTTAGGGTACAGCAGCAAAGTAAATGGTAATGCCTCTTCTTTAATATCATTTCCAGGATTAAATCATATCAGTTTCTAATGCTGAAATACATAAATAATGAAACATTCCCATAATGCTTCATTAGTAGCACATCTAAAGTATTACCTAATTCAAATATGATAACTTATCTATAGATCTCTCCTCACTTGTGGTCCCACGTTAATGTTAGCCCAAGTTTAAAGCACATTTTGTACGTGGCTTCTGCATCCATTCAATTCCTTTGTTCATTAGCCCCAACTGATGTATTTCTTTTACCAGCCAACCAGAGAATACATTACTTGAAAGCAAAATACATCTAATTAACTAACAAGATAAGTGTTCAGAAAGCTACAAGGGTACATTCTGCCATATTCTCACACCTCCAGAGGGGGTGACAGGGCAATGGCAAGAATACACATGGCTAGAGAACATGGCCAGTGAGAACATGTGTGGAGACCACTTGTGGTAAAGTGGTAATGTCACCAACTGAGTTGCATTCTCTACTGAGGTTCTTTGATATACAGTTCTCTATACTATACAGCTTGCTGCTGACTACCTCCACTGACAAACACTACTCTTGCATATGTCCTGAGAGCTGTATAGATGTGCCATCAGGGTCTAGAAGAAATAAGGCTTTCTCAACATGTGCTTCCATTTTCACTGCAGTGTTTCTATTCTATGGCTATTCTATGGCTAATCTAATAATATTCTATTCTATACATGGTGATGTATGTGAGCCCAGGATCTGGGAACCAGTCTGGAATGCAGAAGTTTGTAACCTTGCTCTAATCCATTCTTCAACCCCCTAATCTACAGACTTCATAACAAAGATATGAAGAAAGCTCTAAAGAAACTTTTGTGTGGGTTGTCCCAGAGATTCCCTAAAGAATACAAGAAATGAGGAAGTTTTATTCCACAAGTTTTTAGCATAACAGATAATTGCGTGAGAAAGTAGGAATTAGGAAAATAGTTTCAAATACAAGTTACTGAAATGTAGATAACACGAAGAGTAAAAAACTTATATAGCTTTAAGACTTTCAATAAACTTTACATATATTATCTTATTTGATACAAACAATGCTAATGTGATTAACATAAAATAAACCTAGAAGGGTACACTTAGGATTCAGGCTATGGAGGGCTGAAACAAAAATTTAAGAAATTTGTGTTTTATTCTAGAGTCAATAGGAAATCACTGAAGGTTTTGAGCAAAGAATATTATTTTAGCAATAGTGGGAAGGATGGATAAAAGAATAGACCTTAAAAATAGGGACACTAAAGGGGCAGTTAGGTGGCGCACTGGATAGAGCACTGACCCTGGAGTCAGGAGGACCTGAGTTTAAATCTGGCCTCAGAGACGTAACTCACTAGCTGTGTGACTCTGGGGAAGTCACTTAACCCCAATTGCCTAATCAAAAAAAAAAAAATAGGAACACTGGGCTTATAAGAGTCCAGCTGATAGGTGATGAGTACCTGAATCAGGTAATGGTTCTGCCTGGAGAGGAGAGAGATGAAAGGGATATTAAATGAATCAGTAGGTCACAAAAACCTCTGCCAAATAAATACAGAAGTAAAGCAACGATGCCTATTCTCACTACTATTATTTAATGAAATTCTCTATTTGATTAAAAACTGCTGGGAAAAATTAAAAATACTTTGGTAGACACTTGCCTTGGACTAACACCTTACTTCATCTTCCCTAACACATTCCAAATGATTCCATGACCATAATAGTAAAGATCATACTTTTAAAAATTAGAAGAAAAGCAAATCATATACCTCTTAAAACTATTGATAGGAGATATATTCTTCACCAAACATAAGACAGAGGCAATTACAAAAGATGAAATAGATAACTTTATATGAAATTGAAAAGCTTCTGCAAAGATGAAATTAATGTACCTAGAATAAGAAGGAAAGTAGATGAGGAAACGAGGAATGAGGAAAAGTCTTTGTATCAGTTTTTTTCTGATAAGCATTTAGTATCTGAGATACATCAACTATATCTATATGTATGTATGTATGTATGTATGTGTGGGCACAGATAATGGATGAGATTGCCAAGACAATGATGACAGAACCTAAGACAGAACCTTGAGAAACACCCAAAAGTAGCCGCTGGGAGGAAGATAAAGGACCAGCAAAGGAATCCAAGAAAGACAGGTAGGAGGAAGGCCAGAAAAATGTAA